CGAGCTATGAGCAACAGCGGTTCGATGCCCGGCCCGAGCTGAGCTGCCGCTGAGCTGTCAACAGGTGGCAGGATGGCTCAGCTAAAAAAAAAAAAAGTATTTAGCTTAAAAGTAAATCTTGATGTTGGATAGTGTAGGTCCTCTGACTTTGTTCTTCTTCAACATTGAGTTGGGGCTATTCTGGGTCTTTGGACTCTCCAAATAAATTTAGAATCAGTTTAGAATCTACAAAAAATCTTGCTGGAACTTTGGTTGGTATTGCATTGAATCTATAGATTATGTTGGGAAGAACTAACATCTTGACAATAATGAGTCTTCCTATCTATGAACATGGAATGTCTCTCTATTCATTTAGTTCTTCGATATCTTTCATCAGAGTTTTGTAGTTTTCTTCATATAGAACTTATACATATTTTGTTAGTTATACCTACGTATTTAATTATGGGGTTTGCTAATGTAAATAGTAATGTGTTTTTATTTCAAATTCCGTTCATTTATTACTGCTATGTAGGAGAGGAATTGACTTTTGTACATTAACCTTGTATTCTAATATCTTGCTACAATCACTTAGTTCCAGGAGTTGTTGTTGTTGTTTTTCTAATCAGTTCTTCCAGATTTTCTACATAGATGATCATGTCATCTGTGAACAATGACAGTTTTATTTCTTCCTTCCTGATATGTATGTATGTATGTATGTATGTATGTATGTATCTTACTGAATTAGTTAGGACCCCCAGTATGATGTTGAAAAACAATGGAGAGAGGAGACATCCTTGCCTTGTTCTTGATCTTCACTGAAAATTTTGATTTTCTCACCTTAAGAATGATGATAGCTGTAGGTTATTGTAGATTAACATTTTTTAAATTATAGCTGACATAAAATACATTAATTTCAAGTATACCACATAGTGATTAGACATTTATACTCATCTAACTTTCAAAGTGATCACCCCAATAAGTCTAGTACCCATCTGACACCATACAGATTTTTTTTTATCAACCTGAAAAAGATCCCCTCTATACTGTTCCTAGTTTTGTTGAAAGGTTTGGTCATAAATAGGTGTATGATTTTGTTAAATGCTTTCTTTGCATCTATTGATATGATCATTTCTTCTTTAGTCTGTTGATGTGATAGATTACATTAACTGAATTTTGCATGTTTTTAAAAAGATTTTTATTTAAAATATAGCTAACATACAATATTATATTAGTTTCAGGGGTGCCTCATATTTATTCAACATTTATATACCGAAAGAAGTGATCACCGTGATAAGTCCAGCAACCGTCTGACACCATACTATGCTATCAAAATATTATTGATTATATTCCTCATGCTGTACATTACATCCCCATCATTTCTTTGTTTAATACCTGGAAATTTGGATCTCTAATTCTCGTTCTCTTCCCTCCCCCCCTTTTTTTTTTTTTTTTTAGATGAGCCATCCTGCCACCTTTTGGCAGCTCAGCGGCTGCTCAGCTCAGGCAGGGACTTGAACCGCTGTTGCTCAGAGCTTAAACTCTTGAGTGAGCTCTTAACCAACTGAGCCATTCGGCCGGCCCTCCCCCCGCCCTTTTTAAATTTATCGATTACAATTGACATTCAATATTATTTTGTATTAATTTTAAATGTACAGCATAGTGGTTAGACATTTATATAATTTAAGAAGTGATCTCCCTGACTAGTCTAGTACTCACCTAGCACTATACGTAGTTATTACCATATCATTGACTATATTTCCTGTTTTACTTTACATCCCCATGACTATGTTGTAACTACTAAATTGTACTTTTTAATCCTTTCACCTTTTTCATCCTGCCCCCAACCACCTCCCATCTATCACCCCAATAGTGCCCATCTGACACTATATATAGTTATTACAATATTATTGACTATATTCCTTATGTTATACCCTACATCTCCATAACTACTTTGTAAAAACCAATTTGTACTGCTTAATCCCTTCCCCTTTTTTCACCCACACCCCCAAGCCTCCCTCCCACCTGGCAACCATCCAAATGTTTTTTGTATCTATGAGTTTGTTTGTTTTATTTGCTAATTTTGTTCTTAGATTCCGCTATAAGTGAAATCACATTGCATCTGTCTTTCTCTGTCTGATATACCCCACTCAGCACAACACCCTCCAGGTCCGTCCATGCCACCGCAGATGACAAGAACCCATTCCCTTCCCTGGCTGAGCAATATTTCGTTATATATATGTACCACCTCTTCTTTACCCATTCATCCATAATGGACACCCAGGCTGCCTGCACATCTTGGTCATTGTAAACAATGCTGCAATGAACATATGGATGCACATGTGCCCTCAAAGTAACATTTTGGGTTTCTTCAGATAAATTTCCTAAAGTGGGATTACTGGGTCCTTCATTGTCTCTTCTTATAGCCTTTGTTTTAAAGTCTATTTTGTCTGGTATAAGTATATTGCTGCCCAAGCCTTTTTTGTTTTTTCTTTTTCATTTTCATGATATATCTTTTGCCACCCCTTTACTTTCTGTCTGTGTGTGTCTTTCAATCTGAAGTGAGTCTCTTGTAGGAAGCATATGTAAGGGTTTTGTTTTCTCATCCATTCATCCCTCCTATGTCTATTGATTGGAGCATTTAATCCACTTATTTTGAAAGTAATTGTTGACAGATATGTAGCTATTGCCATTTTATTATTGATAATTTTGATCCCCCTACCCCATCTTAAAGAAGTCCCTCTAACATTCCTTGTAATACTGGTTTGGTGGTAATGAACTCTTTTAGCTTTTTCTTGCCTGGGAAGCTCTTTATCTCTTTTTCAATTTTAAATGAAAGCCTTGCTGGGAAGAATAGACTTGGTTGTAGGTCCTTGCCTTTTATCATGTTGAATATTTCATGCCAATTCCCTCTTCCCTGCAAAGTTCCTGTTGAGAAATCAGCTGACAGTCTTATGGGAGCTTGCTTATAAGTTACTATTACTTTCTCTTGCTGGTTTTGGGATTCTCTCTGTCTTTAACCTTTGCCATTTTTAATCATGTGTCTTGGTGTGGGCCTGTTTGGCACTCTCTGTTTCCTGGACTTATATGTCTATTTCCTTCACCAGATTAGGAAAGTTTTCAGTCATTATTTCTTTAAATAGGTTCTCAATCTCGTGCTTTCTCTCTTCTCCTTCTGGTACCCCTATGATGCAAATGTTACACTTGATGTTGTCCCTGAGGTCTCTTAAACTATCCTCATTTTTTTGGATTCTTTTTTCTTCTTGCTGTTCTGATTGGGTGTTTTCTGCTACATTTTCTTCCAAATCACTGATTTGATCCTCTGCTTCATGTAGTTTGCTAGTGATTCCTTCTAGTGCATTCTTCATTTCAGTTATTGTATCCTTCACTTCTGACTGTTCTTTTCTATGGTTTATATGTCCTTTTTAATGCTTGTTATCTCTTTGTTGAAGTTCTCACTAAGTTCCTTGAGCATCCTTATAACCATTGTTTTGACCTCTGTTTCTGCTAGGTTGCTTGTCTTCCTTAGTTGTTGTTGTTTTTTTAAGTTTTTTTTTTATGGATTTTTCTCCTGTTCTTTCATTTGGGATGAATTTCTTTGTTTCCTTATTTTGGCTGCCTCTCTGTGTTTGTTCCTATGTATTAAGTAAGGCTGCTATGTCTCCCAGTCTTGCTGGGCAGCTTTATATAATAGGTGTCCTGTGGGCCCCAGTGGCATAGTCTCTCTGGTCACCTGAGCTGTGTCCTCCAAGAATGTCCCTTGTATGGGTTGTGTGTGCCTTCCTCTTATAGTTGAGCATTGATTGCTATTGGCACATCAGTGGATGAGATTGATCCTCAGGCTGATTGGCTGGGGTTTGGCCATGTCCATAGCTTATGGGCTATTGTACAGGGGGCCTAACACATGGAGGGAGATTCACTCCAGTGGTCTCTAGTGCCTGTTGAGACCACCCTTTATGCATGCTGCTTGTGGTGGTAATTGGGCAGTGCTCTGCTGTGGTCTGAAGCTAACCTCCAAGTATGTTGGTTTACAGGGTCTCTTAGGAGGGGCTGTGGTACAGGGCCAGGTCACACACTGCCTGTAACTGGCTGGGGGCTACCTGGTAGGCACTGTAAAGTGATCCATGATTATTCACTGCCTGTGCTAAACCTGGAGGCATATGGAAGAGGCCTCACTATGAACTGAGGTCGGCTGCCACCAGTACCAGGCATGGGGTAACTCACTAAAAATCCAGGACACTCAGAAGCCTGCTGCCACCTGCCGGCTCCCTTAAGGTTCAGCCTCAGATAAAGCCTTACGTGGTACACAGGTTGGGTGAGGCAGGGCCTCAGGGAGTCACCAGAGTGGGAAAAATTGTGGTCACCAGGTTAATGTAAATTTTGACTTGCTGCCAGTACTGAGCCTGCAGCAATTCAGCAGAAGTCTCAGAGCACACCAAGGCCAGTTACTGCTTGCTTAGGGCCTTCCAGACTCTTATAGTTTTCCAAGAAAGAGTGCAATGTGGGTGGGCTGGCAACTCACAAGAAAGTGCCTCTGGTGGTGCTTGGGTTTGGGTGGAGCAGGGTCCCATCTGAGTCAGCTGGGTGGAGCAGTGGAGCTCAGCAGGCCAATCAGATTCAGATTTGGCCTGTAGGGGGCAGGCTCAACACAGGCAAGATGGCACCCACCTGCCAGCAGCATAGAAGAAGGACCCCTCACTGGGAAAATGCTGACTATCCTCTAGTTCTCTTCTTGAAGCTACACACCTCAGTGTGCCCCCCCACCCCTAGACCCCCTGAGTGACCAACCCTCCGCCTGAGCCCAAGGTGAGTGCCTGTGAGTAAGTGCATCTGTGAGCGGGTCATTTAAGAGGTCGTCTGGGTTTCTTGCAGCCTTCTGTCCCACCCGAATGGTTGGAATCCCCACTTTTTCACAGCTAGATGTTGTGGGGGTTCCTCTTCCTGGCACCAGTGCTTTGGACTGGAGAGCCTGGTGTGGGGGGTTGGAGTCCCTTGCTCCTCTTGAGGGAACTTCCATGGCCAAGATATCCCTCTTGATTCTCAACTGCCACATGGAGGTTTGGGGCCTGTTCCATGTCTCCACCCCTCCCACCAGTCTCGATGTGGCTTCTTTATATTTTTAGTTAAAGGACTTTTGTTCAGCTAGATTTCAGATGGTTCTCCAGGTTGATTGTTCTATAATTTAGTTGTAATTTTAATTGTTCATGGAAGGATGCAGGCACAATGTTTATCTACTCCGCCATCTTGCCAGGGTCCAAATTTTGCATGTTGAACCAGTCTTGTATACCTGGGATAAATACCACTTTGTTTTGGCAAATAATTCTTTCTATTCATTGATGGGTTTTATTTGCTAATATTTTGTTGAGGATTTTTGTACCTATGTTCATGAGAGATATTGGCATGTAGTGTTCTTTTCTTATGTAGCTGTCTTATTCCAGTTTTGGTATTAGGGTAATGCTAGCCTTATATAATGAGTTAGGATGTATTCCCTCTGCTTCAATCTTCAGAAAGAGATTACCATATTTTGCTGGTGTGTAATGTGCACTTTCTTGCCCAAATTTGTGAGAGAAAAATAAGGATGTGCATTATACATGGGTAGTACTAATTTCATATCTATATAAAGGCTTTTAATTTTTTTATTTATGCTTATGAGTTAAAAATGTAACTCTAGAAATCAATAATGATATCCATATGGGAAATAATACCCTGGAATATGATAATCAATTTTGTTGAACTTACAATGAACTTGCAATGATGAAGAGTACTTGGCCTTCTATGATGTGTAAATATCATAAATTTGTTAGCAGTACATACAATTTCTTGTACCTTGTATCTGTTCTTGTGTTTTGTGATTATATGTTACATAAAATTTCTGTGCCATAATATGTTTAAAAATAAATGCTAAAATTCCTTTATAATACAAAAAACAAGTACCTAAATGTAAACAATTAAAATTTTGAATTAAAAAATTAAAATGAAACATTTTTTTCACTGAAAGTTTTGGCCAAAAACATGGGTGTGCGTTATACACAGCAAAATATGGTACATAGAATTGGTAGAATTTCTTTCTGAAATGTTTGGTAGAATTCACCAGTGAACCCATTTGGGCTGTTCTTAATTCTTGATAAATGAATGCTAGGATTAAATGACAGTGGTTTTATATGGAGACATGATTACATTTGGGGGCATTTGAGGGTAAAGCCACAGCCTTGTACATATGGGAGGGGCTTCACCTGCTGAGAGAAGTTATTCTCTATGTAAATCAGACACTTTGGAGTCTCTGCTCAGATCAGAGATCATGTTTCTGTGGGAACTTCCTCCAAAATCAGTACTCTCTTGCTTACAAGAGTGAGCCTGAGCACCAGGTTTATATCATGTGACTTCCTTCCCTACCCTATGGCCACATGTGATCAGACCAGAGATGGACAACTGGCATAGTTTGGACCAATAAAATTCTCTCTTCAGGGATTTGGTATTTAGGACCAAGAGGCAGTTACCCAGTTTCTGCACAGAGTTGGAATTGAGGTGCCCTGGGCATAGGAGTCGTGGACCAGTTGTTGGAGTTGTTACATGAGAGAGATGTAAAGTTGTGCCTGCTAAAAGAGAAAGATAAGGTGGAAACTGATCTGGTTGCTGGGAACAAGCAGAGTAGGGCTGAAAGACTATGGGTGGAGATGCTCAGAAGACTGCCTGGGGCCCAGGAAAAGACAGAGAAAGTGTGGGGGTATCACTACCTTCCTCCTTAGAGGACCAGGCCTTCGCTTGTGTTGGGGTGAGGGGAATAAAGTGATATAGAAGCAAGGATGCACATCTGGGCTGGAGCAACTGAGCTTTCCAACATGGAGTACTGAGGGCTGAAGCAGGACTGGGTCCAACCCACCTATGTCCCTCTACCTCCTGTGCTTAGCCTGTCTACCACCAGAGGAAAACCACGAATGGAACCCATGGCTTCGCAAACACAAAAAAACAGAGAGGTTTCATTTAAGTAGACTTTAATTAGAAGTATACTGGAGAGTTTTATGTGCAAATGCATTTTGGTTTTTAACTTAGAGCCATCCCCCCATTATTAACTCTGGTGTTTGTGTGTGCATGTGTGTAGGTCATGTCCTCCTTGTGGTTATGTCTGTAAGAATCCATTCTTTTATGTAGTAGGTCTTTTATGACCTCTTCCTGTCTGCCTCTGTGTTTACTGATAAGGTGTGTTAGTCTTTATTATTATTCATTTCATTGAAGAATCCTGAATCGCTTTCAGTCACCTTCCTTTTTCCAATCTCCCCAAAGCAAAGGCACCTGGAAGTGTGCGGGTGAGGCTGGGGGGGGGGCGGGTCTTGAGGTATCTTAGGCCATGGCTGCCCCCTTGGGGCAAGGCCTCAGCTTTCTGAGTCCAGGGAGTAGGAGTACTTTGTCTCGGAGCCCCAGAAACGATGGACTACAAACACTATGACCCCCAGCAGCAAGAGGGCACCTAGGGCCCCGAAGAGGATCCCGAAGAAGGCACCAAGTTTCATGCTCAGGTGCTCACAGCGCTTGCCCCAGGGCATGTAGATGGAGAAGGACACACAGCTGGGAACAAAGAAAGGGGATGTGGTCAGTATAGGGGGAGGCGGGCGCTCAGTCTCACTGCCCCCTCCTCCTAGGGGATCAGAGGACGTTTTCCACACAGACTGGGTTCCGCTTTAGGGAAAGAGGCTGAGTCAGCCCTGAGGTGGAGCTGAAGCAGGGTCATGGGACAAACAAGGCAGGTGTGGTGTGAATTCACCTGGGGTCAGCTCCATTAGAACAGCGGGAGGGGCAGGGCTGGCCACAGGTGAGCAGGCACAGTCACAAACCCAACCCCGCCCCCTGAGAGTTGGGCCTAGTCCTTGGCTCCACCTGCCCCCTCCTTGGATCTGGGAATAGAGAGGGCTAGGCGGTGGGACGAGGAAGACAGAGGGCACTGATGTGATAAGAGGGCCCGGTGGCGCTGCCCTTCTCCTCCTAAGCAGGCCTCCAGACTTAGTGCATTTCCCTCACAGGAGTCCCTCAGATTGTTGATGAAGCAAGGGGACATAGTGTGCCAGTTTGAGAGGGCCTCCCCTGCCTGGTACTCTTAAGGAGGGGCAGGGCCAAGAAACAATGGGTTCCTTTTCCGCAAGGAGACAGCAGGGTATCCTCCAAGAAGCAAAATCAGGTGAAAGAGTTTGGCTTTGGAACCCATATCCTGCTACTTAACTTACTGTTTACCTTGGGCAGGGTCCTAATCATCTCTGAGCCCCAGTTTTCTCATCTTTAAGATGGTCATAATACCTACCTAGCAGCTAGTTTGAGTTTCAGAGGTAATTTAGCACCTTTATTCACACAGAGTAGGCACTCACACATTTTCTTTTCCATTGTCCCATTTCCTCTGATCCCTGTTCTCTCAATTACAAAGAGAACCATTATAATTTTCAGACATCCTGAGGTCCTATGGCCTTTCTGGACGCCTTGCAGTGCCTTTGCCCAGCTTGGATTCCCCAGCACTGCCCTCCACCTCCTGTCCCATGCCCCACTCACCTGCATTGGGGCCCATCTGGCAGGTGCTGGCACTCGCCTCCATGCTCACAGTAGCCCTCACTGCATGGGGACACGCAAGTGAAGCCGTTTTGCGGGCTGTAGACTAGGTGGTAGCCCTTGTAGCCCTTGCATTTGAAGTAACTCTCCAGTGTGCTCACGTTCACTGTCAGGACACACACGAACATGGAAAGCAATTGATTAACACCAAATCTATTCTTTTTCAATCAAGAATTCCCTATCAGGAATTTATCCTTAGAAGTAATTGGAAAAGCACACAAATACCTATGTTCATGGAAGTCCAGAGCTGCATGGTTCATAATAGCAACACTGTTTAACAGAAGTTTTGTTAAACAAGGAATATTATGCAACCAATAAGCAGCACGGCATGGAAAATGCATTGGTGAAGAGCATATGCTTTGAAGTCAGCCAGGCCTTAATTGAATTTCAAACTTTACTCCTAACTAGTTGTGTGATTTGGGGAAAATTTCATAACTTTTTCAACTTCAGTTTCCTTATTTTTAAAAGGAAATAATAGGGCCGGCCGAGTGGCACGTTGGTTAAGAGTTGGCTTGAGACTCCATCTCTGAGCAGCAGGGCCTCATGGATCCCACATGAGGGCCAGTGATGCTGCGCCCTCTACAGCTAAGATGGTGAAAAACAGCTCAACCTGGAGTTGGGCTGCCATGAGTCACCTGCGACGGTGTAGGCTGCCATGAAGCTGTAGTGGGCTGCCATAAACTACTGTGAGTGGCTGGCAGCCGCCGTGAGCAGCTGTCCAGTGACTGGCGACCGATCTGCCTCACCCGGGAAGAGCACAATGATAATACCAACATGGGCCAGTGAAGCGACATCCTCCACAACTAGACTGAAGAACAAAAGGACAGCAATTTGTCTGTTCCCCTTCCCCGATTCCACAGCGCTGTTCCCTTCCCCTAATTTCCCAATAAAAATCTTTAAAATAAATAAGTAAATAAAAGGAAATGATAATAATAGCACCAACCTTGCTGTGAAGTTTAAATGAGGTAATACATGCAGGGTATTCATTACAATGCCTGACACAGTAAGCACTCAATAAATGGCCCCTATTAATATAACATTCTATTTAAAATATATTAAAACACTATATTAAATTATATAAAATAATATCTCAAATGGGAATATGTTCACAATTGTTTAAGTAATGAGGAGGTTATCACACATTAGGTATGATTTGATCCCCTTATTATAAAAAAATATTGATATGTGTGAAGGTGCCTATGCATAAAAGAAAAATTCAGAAGGATATGTACAAAATAGACTTGTCTCTGGGACTCGGGATTACAGGTGATTTTTTTCCTCTTCTGTTAACTTGTGTTTCCTAAAGTATCCACAATAAACATATTGTACTTATATAATAAAAATTGTGGGGTTTCTTGTTTTCTTTAACAAAAGGCATTATCTGCTCTGGGGTAGTTCCCTTATTCCCACCCCTAGCTCCCTACCACACATACACATAGTAGTGCGACGATTTCACATTGTTGACCCCAGGAGTGAGGAAACTTAGCCTAAATTCTAGAAGAAGCTCTCGCTTGGTCCTGGACCCAAGTAACACAGCAGCTTCTGTTGGGTTTGGCATGGTCACTGCCCTGTTCTCTGCCTCACTCCCCAAATAGGGTAAGCTATTCCTTTCCCTCTCTGACAAGCTTGCCAACCTATCTCATTCCCTTTCTGGAATAGCCAGGGGCTGTCAGAGCTGAAAGGGACCTCAGAAATCTCATCTCATTTACTAAATGGGGTTGTTGAGGCCTGGACTGGGGATGGCTTTTGCAGAGTGTCACACCCTTTCAGGTGGGGCTATCTCTGCCCCAGCCTTCAACTTAATATCTTTCAGCAGGAGAGCAAAGGCAAAAGGATGTCCCTGTTTATGTTTGTAAAGTATAATGGTATTTTGACAAAATCACTAACAGCTTTAATAAAAGAAAGCACAGCAGTGGTGGTCAGGAAGGCAGCAAGTGGAATCATTGCTCTCTGAAACCGCACATGGGGATTCAATCGGCAGTATTTTGCGCGCCTGCTCTTGAATCTAGAAAGCTGGTGGGTAAAAGGTTTATAATTTCTCTCAAAAATTACAAACAAAAAAAAAACACCTAAATTAACTTGTTTCTTGCTCATCTGTGTCCTATTTGTATGGGCTGAAGACCTGTGACAAGCTCCCTCGTTTACCCCCTCCCTCAGCTATCCCTGTGACTGTCCCCAAGATAGTGACTCACAAGCTTCCAAACTGTGCACCTCTCTCCTGGTGATGGCGTGGAAGACCACGTTGTTCCTGGGCACCTTACTTATTTTCCATCTCCCCCACGAGGCCTGCAGAAAGAATGCCTCCACCACCGCATCCAGCAGCCGGTTGTTCAGGAAGTCGATGACAGGACCCCGCGGGCGGTACTGGAACTCCGAGATGACATACCAGTGTTGAAGGGAGTTTCCTGAGGCCAGTGCCTCCGTGGTACCACTGTGTGGGAGAGGCACAGTGAGAGGCTAAGGGGTGAGGGGTAAGAGGGAGGACCTGGGGACCAGGCAGGGACAGTCCCACTTACATTTTTTCCACTCTGCTGTTCCAGAGAAAGGCCCGAACGTCCAGGTTTTCCAGTCTGTAGGCCACCTAGAGGAGAGGATGGGGGTTGGGGGTGGTGTCAGTGGGATGAGGCCCAGCCCAGAGAGAAGATCCCACCCACTTTAATACAATTAATTCATCCCTATCTGTTTCCTTCTTTGAATGTGATCCTTAGGGCCCCCAAAACATTTCTCATCCATTTCTTCATCTCCACATCCCTACCTAGTCTGGTGATTGGGGTGGGTCCCTGCTTAGTAAGTTTATTCATGAGTAAAGGACTTTATATATCTCTCCAACACTCCCCACCCCACCCCCAGCCTCTTATTATAAAGGAAGAATCTGAAATGAATGGCCCCTACCTTGCCTCCAATCCCTGACTCACCCATTCATTCTCTCCCCACATGTATGTTAACATCATTTATGTTTAACCAGACCTAGGGGATGGTCAGGTGCTGGGGGTGTCAACATGACAGGAACAGTCCATACTCAAAGACCCATAGTCTGGTGCAGTAGACAAATGTCAACATGTTTTACCAGAGTGTGGAGTACTGTAGTAGTAATTATTATTATTCTAAATTTTTTTTACCACATATTGTGTTTCAGGAACCATGCTAACTACTATACATACATTATCACTTAAACCTTGACACAACTCATTGACATAGGTACTATTATTATTTCCATTTTTATAGATGAGACATCAAATAATTTGCCTAATTATCACACCTGCTCTAGTGAGTGGCAGAACTAGGATTTGAACCCGGGTATGTAAGATTCTACAGCCTCAGTTACTCAACCACTGTGCTACTTTGCCTGTGATTCAGGGACAGACCAGGAGATGGGGGCCAAGAAGAGGGAGCCCCCGTTCCCTTGGGAAGTCAGGGAAGGCTTCCTGGAGCTGAAATGCCTGCGTTTCTTCCATATAACACTCAAGTGCAAGTCTTGAGGGACTTTCAGAAGGAGAGACTGGGGTGACTCAGCCACCCTAGACTCTGTTCATTTTGAATTGGCCATTCCAACCCTTTCAGAGGCCTCAGTCTTGGGGCTTCCTGACTTCCTCACCCCAGACCTTCCCTGAAGCAGGAAGCTCCTGTCTCCTCTAGTAATTGAATTTAGATGGATGATGAGATACAGAGTGATGGCTAAGACCTGCTCTGAACCTGCCAAGACCCACCTCCCCACCCAGAGCCACCTGCAGCACTGACCGAGGCGTTGACCTCTGCTATGGAGGCATTTTCTTCTTCACTGAGCAAGAGCTGGATGACTCTTAAGGGAAGCTCTGGAGATGGGAAAAGGAGATTCATGATCACCTCACAGGTCCACCCAGGCTTACCCCAAGAGACTGTTGGGTTAGTCCAGAGAGACCATCCTATTCTACAGTGGTAGGTCACCAGAGGAATCAGAAGTGGCCGAGTCTGCTGACCCTCATCCTAGTGCTTGCTTGACTGACTCTCTTCTCACTGAGCCATGAAGTCACCTTCAGTCTTTCCTCAGAAGACCACTCAGGCCCATGGTTCATGCTGTGATGGGTGTCCCCACTAGCTCTCATAGCCTACAACTTACCACCACCACCTAAGAGAAATTTGGAGGTCTGTCCTGTGATTTTGAAGAACTTAGCTCTGGCCCCCAGAGCACCCACCTCCCCGTTTACCCCAAGCAGGAGAAGTGTGGAGAAGGGGATGGCAGGGGCATCCGGTAGTACCTGAACTGACAGTTGGAGTGAAATTGTTCCCAGCTAGGAAGCAGCGGGTGTCTGTGAAGGCTGGGGGGCAGGTGCAGGCGGCCTGGCAGCCCAGAGTTTCGGAGATGGAGCAGTGGCCTTGGTTGTAACAGTAATTCACAGGACAAGACTTGTTCTGACAGAGTTCAGAGTCCTTCAGAACTGCAGAGGGAGCAGAAGTCAGCGACACCACCCTGGGCAGCAGCGGGGAGCCACCAACCCATAGAAAGCTGCTCCCAGGACAAGCTTGGTTGCTTTCCCCCAAAGCCAGCACAATCTGCAGGCTTGTGGGCCACTCTGAACCCCAAACCACCCTTCTCCCTTTTCCAGACATTTCCCTGACCGGCAACCCTTTTTCCCCTGCCAGGTATTCTTCCACTTGTGAGGGAATGCAGTGTTTATCAGACCCTTCACATCAGGAAAGGACCCAGATGGCTGGCAGGAGAAGAGCCTATCAGCCTGTTTTTCCTACTTACATCTCCTTTTCTGCCTTTATAAGGCTGTGGTTCTACCTACTCTGATCTCTGCTCAGATTTCTCTTGGGTGCTTTAGGGGGCGTAGTGGAAGCCTCACTGTGACCTCCCTCATCTGACTTCAGAAGTCAAGATGGTGGGAGAAGGACTCAAAGGGAAAGTGAGGCACCCTTGCTGCCAGATGCCCATAGCAGCTCCTCCTTACTGGGTGGATGTGGAGACCCTGGGTTTTGTATCTCTGAAGACCCTAAGGCCCCCGAGGGCGCAGTTTGCCTCTGGTTCCCTGGCTGTGCCAGAAATCTTCACTCTTCTCCAGGCCACCTTCAGCCTTTTGCCCTGGCCTCTCCCCCACGTCTGTACAATCTCTTCTCCTTCAGCCCTATGCCCTACCATACCTACCTTACCTCCTTACCATACCCACCTATGTTGATCATTCCAAATACTTGCTAGAAAAAGGACAGAAATGGTTTGCCTTTGGCTGTCCTAGGCCCTGTGATTGTCACCTGTTCCCAGAACTCCCTCCTACCAGGGCCCTGTTTTCAGCTTACGTGCACAGTGACGCCCATCCCCAGTCAGGTTGGGGGGACAGGCCTCACAGCCCTGCCCAGGGATGCACTTCACATTCGGGAAGCACTGCTCCTCACAGGGGTCCTTGAGGTTTTCACAGTAGCGGCCGTAGGCGTTCCTATCACACTTGCAGTTGGCCACCTGAAATGGGTTGCCGATCACTAGGCATCCAGGAGGCTGAACCATTAAGGGCATCCGGGTGTTTCAGTACTGACCCACCTGGTTTGAGAACCCATGAGTCCTTGTCTTAATTCTGTCAGCATCTACTGAGCACTTTCTTAACCAGGTTCTGGGTCTGCACGTCCCAGACCAAAGGCACATTGTCCTCTAGCCCATTTGCTTCCCTGGGCCATTCTTTCCGCCGACCCCTCTGCCTGGCCCCTCCCCTAGGCTCTCAGCCTCTTCCTTCTCACACCATTTCTCCTTGCCTGAAATCCTTCTTAGAGTAAGACAAGGGCTGAATACATACATACATACATATATAAATAGATATTCTACTATCCCTTGAAAACTGGATCTCACATAAGCTGCAGTTTCCTGCTCATTCTTCTCTTGCTGACTGCTCAACCAAGAAGACAGCGCCTCACTACTCAGCACAGTGAGAACATACATAACTGGAACAATAGCACAGAGAAGGTAACATTCTAGAAACCTCATCAAGCTCCCTGGTTTCCCTTTTCTGATCTCCTTGAGATGACTCTGGAAATCTCCCTGAAATGGAACCCTCCAACACTATCTACCTCCAAGACTGGGTATTTGGGGATCTCTGGAATAATACATTGATTTTAAGCTCTGTTTTCTCACTCTCTATATTTTTTTCCTTTTCCAGTCCCTGGGCTCCCCCACCTCTACCCCTGTTAAGTGGGAATTCTCTGCTCATGCTTCAGAGAAGGATGTGTGTGTGTGTATATATATAAGGGGTAAAGGGGGCGTAGGATATTGCCAGCCAAATAATTTTTTGTCTGGCTTTCCTTTTACAACCCAAAACAAACAAATAAACAAAAACAAGATGGGGCAAGATGTGTGGGCTTAGGCCAACTATCTTGGCTAGAAACTTGAATGGAGAAGGATTTTCTCCAAATTGAAAGAGAGTTCCTCTTTTAGTTGGAGAAAGTAAAAGAGAAAACAAAGGGGTTTGGGAGTGCCAAGATCAGAGAGGACCTGCACCTGTCTTCCCAATGCCATGATAATGAGACCCCAGAGAGAAATTGCTGTGTGGTGTTTCTAGGCAGAATGGACCTTAAGTCTCCTTATGAAAGATGCCCTGTGTCTGAGCAAGGCACAGTGCCACAGAGCACCTCCCTGGGTATGAAGAGGAGGGAGCATGGAGCTTGGAATCCATGCAGACTCATGCCCAGGGACCATGCGGGCACTTTCCTACCCCAGAACCACGGAGCTGGAAACAATGGGAAACTCTAAGAAAGGCAGAGGTGGAAGTCTTCCCACCAGCCTCACAGAATAGGAGCTGGGAGATAAAAATCCAGTTGAGCTATAAGCAGTAAAGAAAGTCCTATTTCTTATACATGTAAGTTTGTGGCTTGAGATTGGTATTTGCTCTACTCACCTACCATAGCTCCTCCCATCTCTCAACATGCACTTTGCCACAGAGGGGCTCAACTATGACATCCCTCCAATTCCCACTTCCTTTCACCTCAATATGAAAACCTCCCTCCCACCCTCCTCCCAGCACTCACCTCCAGGGAGGAATTGCCCACCCGGCTGGTATCATTGTATAAACACTCTTTCTCTCCCTTGCAAGCACAGACCACGGTCTTCAGCTGGAGTACAGATGATAAGTTGTCCTTGACATTTCTTGCTAGAATCTCCAGAGTGAGTGGTTCCAGAGACTTTGGTGTCCATAGCAAAGTCCCGTTCTCTACCCCAGGGAAGACAAGATCAGTGAGAGCTGGGAGACTTGTCTGCTCTGCTGTCCAACATGTCTTGGCATCCAACACTCTGAGAGTCAATGCTGGACTTCCCCTACCCCTCAAATCTCATCAGGCATTTCCTTGAGCAAGGCTGGTTTCCTGGGGTGATCCAGGTCACACTCCAAGCTAGAGGTAACACCAGCCCAAGTAACTGATTGCAGGGTGGAACTCCATAAAGGGAAGGCAGCTGCCTGCTGAAGAGATCCCAAGTGGCAACCTATCTGGGCCTGCACCATGATGGGCCATCCAGGAGGGATGAACGATGGAGACCAGGGCCCTCCCAACACTTTCTCAGGCTACATACTGCAGGCCAAACTAGCTTCGTCCTCACAGCGCCCCATCCTTTGCCCTGGTTTCTTGCCCACCCCTTTCATTTTCTGAACCTTTGACCAGCCACCCCTTCAGACCCCAGACTATAGTGAAACTGCTACATATCAATAAGGACTCTTCTGACCAAACCTGCCCTATGTTTTTCAAGAAAATAGGGAAGCCTCCTTAAAACAGCAGGTTAAGAGGAGCTGATAGTAGGAAACCGATGAGAGTAACTTCCAGACCATCACTCTTCAGGAGAGGAGGCCAGTGGAGGAGAAAATATCCTGATGTCATTGTCTGGCCCCTGGGAGGATGCCACATGGAGCAAATGGGTACAGACAAAACAGTCTCTTCTTATGCACAGAGAAAGAAAATGAGGCAGAGAGGTGTTCAGTGCTCAGAATACGGTCTCTAAGGGCTTTGGTTTAGCAAAGAACAGTCACCAGCATAATTAGTACTGGCAATAGAAGGCAAGCTGCATCCTGGGGGCTTTGACTCCTTGACCCAGATCATGGTTATAGGCCTGGGGTCTCCACACCATTACTGTGAGGGAGAAATGAAGTTTTCCTTGGTCCCAGCACAGAAAAGCAGACAAGGAGTGATAAAGATAGGTAAACATGGTTGACAAACATAAAAATAGTGATAAACATTCCAAACAAAGGTATTTGTATTTCTTTAAATCTTGTTCCACATTATATCCTTTTTAAAAATAAATATGAACATATTTTATATTGGTATTTCTTAGTTTTTATACTTTAGTCTTATAACTTGGTGATTGCCCAGAGTCAGTCTAGCTAGCTGGCCAAATCTCCATAAGCCCATCACTGTTGTTCCCTCAGGTTGGGGAGGAGGGAGACGGAAGCACCTACTTGAATTATAGAAATCATTCCTAAGAAATGCTCACCCTGGATATCCCAGTGGAAAAGTGACATGAAGTTGCACAGGGTATAATAATGTAAAATTACCCTAAGCTTGACTCTGACCTCATCCCTACGGCCCCAAACATTCTTACCAAAAAGCTTGACGTCAGTATAGTTGTTTCTGAGAGTGAATGTGGTGTCCTCAGAGTTGCTGCTGTACTGAATTAGTTTGGTCTGCCTCACATAGGCTTCCACTACACGAAGACCATCTATAGAGGGCGGGAACTGATCTGAAACACAAAGAGGGAGTCAGAGCCTGAGGTAGGACGCTCTTGCCTTAAGGCCTCCTCTGTCTTTCTCCAGTCCTCTGGTTTGTGAAGCATTCCCAGGGCTGTGACCCACCTCTGGAAGCAGGAATTATTCTATGTACCTGCTCTCAGACCTGCAGAGCAGGTTGGGGTTGTACTGACCATCTGACCAAATCTTTATTCTCTCTTTATCTTCTCCCTAAGCAGGGTTCATGTCAAGTTCTTTTTCTGATCAGAGGGCTATGCTGGGCATGGTATGAAGTGAATCGGAGAACAGGGTTGTTCAGGGCATCACAGACTTTTACCTTTGGGAAAGGGCTGAAAACCATGAGGATAATATCTAGATGGGCATTGCATTTGTCAGAAAATAGAGAGGGAGTAAAATCTGTTCACTGGTCTCTGTTTTTTGGAGCGCTGCTATTTCTATTTCAGTTTTTGTTCATTCATTCATTCATTCAGTCAGTCACTTAACAAGTATTTATTGAGTACCTACTATATGGCTGGTACTGTTCTAGGTAGTGAGGACACAGCAGTGAATAAATAATAAAAAAGATACCTATGAAAATTAGAAAATATGTTTGATAGTTATAAATGCTAAGGAGAAAAAATAAAGTAGGGCAGATGAATAGGAAGTATAGGTGAATGTGAATTTTAGACAGACTAGCCAAAAAAGCTGACAATTCAATAGAGACTTGAAGGCGGTGAGGGGCCAGCCTGTGGTTATCTACAAGGAGGGAGTTCCAGGCAAACAGAACAGCATGTGTGGCATCTCGGAGTGGGGTGAGCCTAGCATGTTTGAAGCACACAAAGAAGCCAATGGGGCTGGAGTAGAGGGAGTGAGGTGGGCACACTAGCAGAAGAGTTTGGAGGGGTAAATTGGATAAGGCTTTGAAGGTCATCATAAGGACAGAGTGAGCTGGGGTGTCATGGGAGGGTTTGAGCAGAGGAATAACATGAGTCAAAGAATATGTGTAGATGAAAAGAGTATCATGGAAGGGCATTCCTCACCTGCCCCCTAACTGCAAATGCCTTCCTAGGCCTCATGTTACTTACGGAGGGTGGTGTTCATCTGCTGGTATGTTCTAAAGACCATGTTAGTGTGCAGTCCAGTCCTTGTGTTTCCTGTGGCCAGGGCATCATAGATGCATTGTTTTTCTTCATTACACTCAGAGGTCAAATTTTTACTCCCGTTGTTTGTTATAAGTTGGGAAAAGAAGACAGGGATGAAGTTGGAAGGCAGATGGTCGTCCCTCTCGCCAAGGAGGCTTGTTCCGTTGATTTTCCCTATAACATATGAACTGGTATCAGAGGTGGGACTCCCGCTATATTTCTGCAGTGGCCACCCCTTACTCTCACTTTATATGGCCTGGGGTGGGGGAGGGAGACTTGGAAGGACAGGTGGCCTTCCAGCTTCTGAGTCTGGAAATCTCTGCTCTAGGGAGAGAGGGCCACCCACTTTCCTCATCCTCTCTTCCAGGTAGAGAGATGCAGATGTGATGGGAGTGGAGGGCACAAATCTGGGGTGGCACCAGAATCCTCAGCCTCTCCTCCTGGCCTTCCCACTCCTCCCTTACAAAGGACAGAGGTCTGGTTCCCACAGGCCTGAGGGAGGCAGTGTTAGCAGCTTCCTTCATCCTGGCCCTGCCCCATCTACCCCGAGCACTCAGGCCCAGACTCACAGGTCATTCCATAGTGAAAAATAGTCTCTTCAGAGCTCTCTTGGGCAACGGTGGTGCCATCGGGCATCTTGAAGTCATCATCTGGATTGTCATTCCAGACCCCTGAGGGACAGAGAAGGAGGTTGGTCACCCTGGGACTGTGGTTCTCCTGGCACACTCAAGATGTGAGGAGGAGCAGGGGGCCCAGGAAGACTCCGTTGCATCTATTCTAGGTTCAGTCCTCTAGGAGGAGGGGAGAGGATGGACCATAACCTCAGAGCCCACTCTTCTGCTTCAGGGAGAAAGGAGGAGAGAAGGAAGGAGGGAATGGAGGAAGAAGGAGGGAATGGAGGCAATGGAGGGAGGAGTGGGAAGGTGTGAGGCTCAGGAAGGAGAAGGGTTGCTGCTGACCCCACCCTCCTCAGATCCCATCCTTGATGCTCCCTTGACTGCCCTGGAAGTAGAATTTTAGGAGGACAGGAAGTGAGCCTCCAAGGTAGCTGAAGAGGTCCCGGACCCTCCCTGCCACCTGCAGGGTTCTGCTCCAAGGAGGCTGAGAAAGGGAAACAAGCTGGGGTGTCCACAGGCCAGTGAAAGGGGGAGCCTCCTGGAGTCTGGGGGTCTGAGTTTCTGCTGTGGCTGGTGCCTCAGAGTCAGGGTCCTGCCTGCTTCTTACCCAGGAGGCCCTCTGTGCGGTTTCGGTACTCTTCTGGGAGGCTGCAGGAGGCATGGAGGATATTGGAGAGAGCAAGCACTGAGACGGTCACTGTCCCATCTAAGCTGGCCGACACCAGGGAACCATTGCGGATCAATATGACTCCAGAGGAGTTGAATATCTCCTGGCCTAGGATGTTGGGAGACAGATGAAGAAGAAACCAGTGTTGGGACTCTGCAGGCCCACGACTTGGCAGTAGTGAAGGTTAAAAATGCAGACAGGGAAGGAGAGCAGCTCTGGGTGTGTCCGAACACACTGCTTCCAGGTGCAAGGCACCTACTGAACCCTCACGGCTGTCCCCAGCTTACCTTCTGCACCTTCACGGTTAGTCTCAAATGCCACCGGCTGGCTATTGAGCAGCACACGGATTGTGTCATTGGGCTCAAGGAACCATTGAATCTGGAAGGGAATTGGAAGAGGCCTAAGACTGACCTGCAGGCTGGCTGAGAAAGGAGGCTGCAGGCAGCTTAGAACCTGAGCCCTGAGAGAAATGAAGGTGATGGCGAGAGTGACAATGAGGTCTTACTAGCAAACGTCTATGGCATGCTTAGCATGGGCCAGGCTCTGAGCTAAGTACATTTCTTAGATTATCTCATTAAAATCTCACAACAGCCTATGTGGTAGGTGATATCATTATCCCCATTTTACTATAAGAAAATGGAGGCCCTGGAAGTTAAGTCATTCCTTCAGTTACATAGCTGGTGGAGGACTCTATCCCTGTGTCTAGGGTGACTCAAACCACTACACTGGCAGGATGCATCCTCCCTTTCTTCTGCCCTCTTCCCCTCTTCCTTCTTTCTCTTCCTGGGACTCCATTTACAGCTGAAGGTCCTCAAGGGCTCTCTGAGAGGGGAGCAGGGATGTCTAGTGCTCCCTGCCTCACTCACAGTGATGGGGGAAAGGCTACTGGTGTTGTATTGAGCGGCAAAAGCAATGAAGTTGGTGGCCTGAGCTGAGCCGGTCTGGTTAGTGCGGCCCTGCAGCAGAAAGGAGGAGTTTCCATCCTTGGCCTGGATCAGCAGGAAGTCCCCCAGCCCATTGAAGGTGTAATTGACACCATCCAAGGTGTTGATGTGAGGATCCCCAAACATCCAGGCTGGAAAAAAGGAGAAACACCGCATTGGCATGGCAGACAAGGAAAGGGTCTGAGATTCCCCACTACCCCTTGGCAGAGCGTTTGACCAGATAGACTCAAGCCTGGAGAGGTGTTCATGGCTTATAGAATCCTCCCCAGAAGCCCTCTTGCACTTTTGTGCTCCCATTCCATCCATGTCTGCTCATTGTCTCCAACTCCCCCATTCCTACCGCTTCCTCAATGCCAGGTACAATGCCCCTCTGTTTGCTATCGTACACCAGAACCATCTCCATCTTCCCTTGTGGCCACAGCCCTGTCCCAGGAAGCTAGTACTGCCCTGGTCCAGGCCCAAGAGGCTACCCCTCCCCAAATCCAGGGTGGGCCCCAGCAGCCTCACCAGGTCTTGGGGGCTGGTACCAAGTACAGCCAATGCGGGGCCGCCTTTGCTGGTACAGGGCACACAAGGAGGGCTGGTCATTCCAACGGCAGCACCAATGCTGTGGTTCCAGTTCTTGGTCTGTGGAGAATAGCAGCGTGTTGGGGTGGGGGTGGGGACATGGAAGGCCTGCAGAACCCAGCTGGAAGGCTCAGTGGGGCAGTATGAGATGGGTGACAAAGGGCATGGTTTGGGAATTTGGCACATCTCAGTGCAGATCCTGTCCTGCTCAGTGACCTTAGGCTAATGACCAATTACTGTTGCTTTTGCAGGCTTGTGGGAGCCTCATGCAGCCAAGCTCCCAGATGGGCTGGAACATGGTTGGAGCTAAGGAACTCCCTTTCTTGAAGATTGGGGTGCTGAGCCTCCTTGCTCTCAAAGTGCTGGGAGTGGGAGGGTGTGGCTGATGGTCTGGGGACTATGGATGCTGCCTGGGTTACAGGGAGGAGGGTAGAGGGCACATGCTACCTGTCCCCCCACCCCTGTGCCCTTTAGCTCCTTTGGAAGGCTTCTGAGGGCGATGACTCCATGTCTTCTCCCAGACAGCCTGCTAACCTGGGTCCAGAGGAATAGGGTCAGACTCCCCTTCCCTAGAAAGATGCCCCCACTCTGAGCTGGGGTTTTGGGGCAAGAGGCATTCAATCAGAAGCCCCTAGGATGTCAGCTGGAAGGGATGTTGGGAGCTTCCTGACGTTACAAGATCAAGAAATTGAGGGCCAGAGAAGGGGAAGGAATTGGGAAGGAATGGGGACAAAAGGCTTCATTCTATGGGTCCCAATGCTTGGCACAGAGCCCAAGGCTGGTTTCTGATAGGGAAGAACAGAGCACTCCAGAGAAGGTGGGCTTGAGATCTCTGTGGACACACGTACCAAACTGCCAAGGACTCTGCACTCTCCAGCCTTCGAGAAGCTCTCCCCATGGCCCGTAGCTGCAGCACACGCCCCCACGCCGGGAGGAGAAGCTGCACAGATGCCTGCTGCTGAGGTCCCTCCAGCCTGCAACAACCCAGACATACTCAGAACCAGGATGCCTGTGGTGGGGCAGGATCAGGGTGGGGTGTTTCTGGGGAAGGGTTGAGGGTGCCTCAAAAGGGACAGGTATGACCAAAGGGATGGTGGGTGGGATGGAGGGAAGGAGGTGTCACCTGTGCGAATGGGCTGGAATCGAAAGTCCCATTGTCCCTGCTGCCAGGAGCAAGGGCAGGAGGTCTGGTTCCAGCCCCAGCCAGGCCACTGAGGCTGTCTCCTCAACCACTGCAGGCACCTGAGGCGGTAGTTGGGTCTTTCTTCCCTGTGTAGCTTATAGACCTGCAGACCCCTGACGCCTGGGTGAGCAAAGGAAGAAGGGGTTATCCCAGGGCCTGGGGCCACAGTCTCTGCTTTAGCTTTAGAGACAACCAAAACTCAGAAATGTACCCTTGGTGTGCCATTTTCCTCTGTTGGACAGCTCTTCCAGGCATGGGACCCAATTCAGATTGGCAGCAATTCCTTCCCAAAGACCACTTTGATGTGACTTCCAAAAACCCTTAAAGCTTGGATCTTAGGGTGAAGCCCTGGATCAAGTGCTAGGCAAGGAGGCCTCACCTGTACCCAGGGCAGAGCCAAACCCTGGCCCTGATCTTCAGTTCACACCATCCTCTATCCTCTTGTTTGTCACTCAGCTCCAGCACCTTCCAATCCCCCTGAACCAGTTCCTCCCCATGCATCTTATATCTCAGTGAATGATGCCATCAGCCACTTGACTTTCATTCTTGACCCCCCATCCCCAATACAGACATGTCAGTGGCCAAACAGCCAGGGCAGAAGCCAGTGCTCAGAGGCCAACTGGGGAGCCACAGAGATGTTAGCATGTGAAGATAAGACTTGCTCTAACACCACAAGGCTGAGAAAGCATCCTCTGTACCCACACACCATCCTTCGAAGTGTAGGGAGCTGACTGGGAACAGTCAGAGACCCTGGGCCTGCAAGCTGGCAAGCTGCAGGCCTCCATGACAAGGGGAGCAGTTGGAAACAGCCTACGAAACAGTGCTTCTACCTGGGGACGAGTGACAGCTCACCCTTCTGCCAATGCAAGTGCAAAGAATCAAAGACTAACCTGTTGCTAGCTAACAATTATGGACTAATGGACACTTTCGGTTTACTATACTTATCATTGCTTAGGGGAATTTGGTCCCCCCAAATCCCCCTGCCTAGTAGGGAATTGATCCCTACAAAGAGGGATATAGCATATAAAACTAGGTATACAGCCTGTATATAGCATATAGGAGTAGGGGGGAACAAAACTGGCCATTTTGTTCCTGTAGGAAAAAGACAATAGATTCGGGAGTAAAACATGGGGCAGTCATTATATGCAAATACTTAAGACTATACAACTTCCTGCACAAATGCTTAAGACTATGCTTTGCGCTCGTGGTATTCGCATAAGAATGCTTCAGCTAGAAAAGTTTCTTGTATATATAAAGGACACCTGTCCTTGGTTCCCCGAGGAGGGCACCATCAATTCCAGCAGCTGGGAGAGAGTAGGAAAGCAGCTACGCGAACGGTTCACCGCCGAGGGGCTAGAGAACGTTCCCATAGAGATGCGTTTCCTTTGGGGGCTAGTAAGAGATAGCCTGGCAGAAGATCTAAAAACTACTCCCGGGGGATATGAGAAGACGCTACCCCAGGGGTGGCGGAGAGGGGAAGAATAGAGTTCAGGATAAACCCCTGCCACCTGAGTCTTCTCAGGAAAAGGCATGGGAGGAACAACGAGAAAATCCTGATGGTGAGGATTCTTTTGATACGGATGATGAGGGCGGTCCCGGTTCTCCTGTAGATGCGGCGTCAGTTCTCACCGCTGGGGCTAGTCACCAGCCCAAGCAGGAGCCCTCCGCCCCGCGGGAAGCGCCTCCTTCCAAGGCGCGCCTGCCGCCTCCCCAGCAGCCGCCTCTATACACCTCGGGGGCGCCGGGGAATTACGTACTCTGGAAGTCTGATTTGCTAGTGTTTGCAAATACCAATTCCATCATATCAGACTTCGCCCGCCTATGCGCGGGCGTAAAAACCTTAAGTCTGCCATCCTTCCAGACAAAGTTCCAATAAAAGAGAGGCCGAAACAGCAGAAAGGGAGGTTGCTACTCTTGTGGGCAGACAGGCCATTTCTCTAGGGAGTGCCCTTCTAGAGCTCCCCAGGAAAAGGCCTCCGGTGGCGGAACAGGCAGTTCCGCACGGCCGTGCTCCAGGGGTGTGTCCCAAATGCCGGCACGGAAAACATTGGGCACTTGACTGTCGGTCTCAATTTGATATCAGTGGACAGCTCATCTCGAGATCAAAAAAGAAAAAAGCAGGTAAACATAACATCTTGCCCATCTATCTCTCAAGAATCAATTGACAAAACAAGATTTAGTATATAATCAACTAAACCATAGCCCACGTATTCTTTTAACCGTTGTACTCTTTTAAAAATATTCTTATAGCCCTTGTACTCTTTAAATTTTTTTTTACTTTAAAACTTGTGACTTTTACAAACGGACGCTTAAGGACCCGGACTCCCTCAACGTGGGGACGCCCACTTTGGGGGTCAGTCACACATTTCTTAGTGTTCTCGCTGGTGACAGGGATGCCTTCGTCCACCCAGACCACCTCACCACCTTCGTCCTTAAGTCAGTTATTATTTACAGCCCTAGTCCCTCAACCACAAATGTTATATGTAATCATAGAGATGTAGCTATACTGGCAAAATAAACACGTACCCAAATTTTCTTGTCGGATGTCTGCCTTGGGTGGGGGAGCGGATTGTCTGTATTTTTCCCTATGTAGATTCTGGAACGCTTAGGGAAACAACATAAGAAGGACGAGAGAGTTTATAGTTATGCTCGTAGGCATGGCTTGCCAGGTAAGTATAGCCCAAGAAGAAGAATATTAGATATATTAATCACACAGAAGGAGGATGTACCATCCTAGTCCTCCTCTAACCACCGTAGGTGGAATGTTTAAGTCGAGAACGGCATGTAGTCGGACTCATCATAGCCGTACCTCACGGCAATTATAAGGCTTCACAGCAGTTATATCAATCATTGCTTAAAATCATTGCTACTACAGTCACCACAGCAGTCTCTCATTACTAGTACTATAAAAGGCTTTAAAGTAACAGTCATTAATATTTCATGTTCATATCCAAATGAGGTGAATATAAAAGAAAAATTAAGAATCAGTGTCTTAGAGATCATAGGTAGAAAAATAGGAGGTAAGGTCGAGATCATACACTGCCAACTTACCTACAGGTATCATACAGGGAAACAAATAATACATAATAGAAGTAAAAGACATAATAGAAGTAAAGAAAATAAATACAGGGCACTTGACGGAGTATAGATCTCAGCCTTGGGACTTATTGGTCCAAAAGATTTAGCACAAAAAGTAACATTACACCTCAAAAAATTAAACTCACTTAACATTCTCAACCGCAGTTTCTGAAATATATACTTTAAATTAAACTACTCTTGCTACTAATCCTATTCTTTTTTAAAAATTTTTATTGGGGAATTGGGGAAGGGGAACAGCATTGGGGAATCAGGGAAGGGGAACACACAAGTTGCTGTCCTTTTGTTCTTCAGTCTAGTTGTGGAGGACGTTGCTTCACTGGCCCATGTTGGTATTATCATTGCACTCTCCTCAGGTGAGGCAGATCGGTCACTGGCCTCTGGACGGTCGCTCACGGCAGCTCTTAGCAGCTCACACCAGCTGCCGTCCACTCACACTGGCTACTGGCCACACATGGCAGCCCACTGCAGCAGGGGCTGCAGCCCACGCTGTCACCAGCGACTCACGGCAGCCAAGCTCCAGGTCGAGCTGTTGTTCATCATCTTAGCTGTAGAGGGCAGTGTCACTGGCCCTCATGTGGGATTTGAACCGGGGCCCTGCTGCGCAGAGCTGGCGTCCCAAGCCAGCTCTTAACCAATGCACCACTCAGCTGCCTCAACTAATCATATTCTTAATTTCAGTACATGGAGCAGTCAACATGGAAACTCTTCACCAATGGCTCAGGAGAGCTACTGGTCGCCACTACTGATTGTCTCCATACTGCTCACTCTCTAAGCCAACACTGTATTTTGTCCCTCATACATCAATGCTCATGCTCCAACACTCCTAAGGTTTGGCCCCACGAGGCTTAGCCTGCAAGACGGCTGGTTAGTCAGAGACGGGTAAGATCCCTAGGAGAGGGATAATCTAAGACAGGCACAGCAGCAGGGGGCCAGCTGTAAGATGACTGGATAGCCAATGACAGGTAAGATCCCTCAAGGAGGGACAACCTAAGACAGGCACAGTCGCCGGGGGGGGCCAGCCATAGCCTAAATAATACCTAAAGCCTGCTTTAATTAATAAAACAAAAAGGGGGAGATGTAGGGAGCTGACTGGGAACAGCCAGAGACCCTGGGCCTGCAAGCTGGCAAGCTGCAGGCCTCCATGACAAGGGGAGCAGTCGGAGACAGCCTACGAAACAGCGCTTCTACCCGGGGACGAGTGACAGCTCACCCTTCTGCCAATGCAAGTGCAAAGAATCAAAGACTAACCTGTTGCTAGCTAATAATTATGGACTAATGGACACTTTCGGTTTACTATACTTATCATTGCTTAGGGAAATTTGGTTCCCCAAATCCCCCTGCCTAATAGGGAATTGATTCCTACAAAGAGGAAATTGCTTCCTCAATATAAACTTGTTGCAAACAATAAACTGGGTCACTGTCTTGCTACTCAACAGACAGTGGACCTCCTGAGCCCAACTTTTGTTTCTGTCTTTTTCATTTCACTGCTCCTCACTCCGATCCTCTCAGGACCGCCGGGGCTCCCCTGGCTGGGCGAACAGGGTCTCATCATGGAAGGGAGAAGTAAGTGGGAGAAGAAACCTTGATGGGGTTTGGGCTTTAAACATACCTTTAATTAATTGTAAGTTACATACTGCCCACCCCATCTGCCATGAGTGAGAAGGAGGGCTCCAAAGCCCAATAACATACAGCAGGACATATGTATTAGATTTTGACCTTGTTCCCACACAAAAGAAAAAATTGTCAAGATAACTACAATTTGTTAAGGTTTTGAAAAGAAAAATCATTGTTTATGATTATTTGTTCGGGTATCTTCTCTAGAATGGCCTGGCATCAGGGGAAACACATTAGATATTCTCTCCCAACACACACACACACACACACACACACACACACACACTATCACACTATCACACTTTGCCCCCCTAGGTCACAAACAGGTGCATCTTGACAGAAGGGCCCTAATCTGGCTGGGCAGCTTTCTCCACAAGATGGCACCTATGATTTGACTTAGCTTCTGTTTACCAAAAGTTCCTGCCACAGAACAAATAGAACTGGATTTATGCTTCACAATTTATATGGCTGATTCCTAACCCTAAAATGTCCTTTGTTCTGTCACATTTTAGAAGCTATAATTTCTTTCTTTTTGTTGCCTCAGGACAGTACATTGAGTCATGGAGGAGGCCTAATGGGCTTCTTCCTGATTCTAAATTACTGGGCATCTTACCAGAGTGAGAGCTCTTTGAGAGCAAACATAGTTGGTCTTTTTCTTTATTTTTTCATATTCCTGGCTCTTAGCACACAGCAAGTGCTCAATAAATATAATGACTGAATAAATGTCATTCATGATGACTGAAGGAATCTCCTCTTGGTTCCCTTAAGGGAGCTCATCTGGCTTCACATTCCAACTCTGAGACAGGACACTTGGAGTGTTGTCCTAACTGCCCATTCATATCTTTACCTTCGGCTACAGCCCTGTCCTCACTTTCAGGATCTGGGGCCCCCCTGAGAGACCTCCTGGGTTTGGCTCCCCAGAGAGGAGACATAGCCCCAACAGAGACTATATTGTGTGAGGGCACAGAAGGTACCAGCAGCCCCCTAGGGCAGCTTACAACCATGGAAGGCCAATTTGTGCTGGGGACACCCATCAGGATTGTGGAGATGCTAGAAAACTGCCCCTCTAGGACTGTCGTGGCTCACGGGGTAAAGGACAGAAGAAGATTTAAGTCTGCTCAAGTGTGATTAGATGGCACTTTTACCTGAGTTGGAATTCAGGAATTGGTCTGGACGATACTTCTTCCACACTGGCTGGAATGTCAGAGGGCTGTTTTCATAATATCCATCTCCACTGCAGGCAAGGAAAGAATCATAGGCCTCTGTCACATACAGGGTCTTTCTCTCAGTCAGCAAGTTACTCATTCAGCCAGTCAGTCAGTCACTCAGTCACTGAGTCCAGCTAGTCATTAGTTATCAGATGGTCAGTCAACTATACAATCAATTGGTCAGTCAACCTCCCAGAATCACTGACACCCCCACTAAGCAGGAGAGGGGAAGAGATGGGGCAAGAGTGGGGAGGCTCTAATTTATTCCACATCTGATCACTAATGATCAGAAACTGGTCATGAGACAGGGGAGTGGAAACAACAGAGTTCAGGCCTTCTTCTGGTTAGTTCCCCTTCAACTAGGGATTGGTGGGGGACAGTGTTTTGGGATGGTTAAGAGCTAATCTCTGGAGTTAAGCAGTCATGGATTGAACTCCTGATTCTAGCACTTAGTAGCTTGGTAACCAGGGGCAAGTTACTTAACCTCTTTGATTCTTAGTTTTCACACCTGTGTAAAAGAGATTACAGTAGCATCCGCCTCCCAGTATTGTGGGGATGAAATGTAGTAACATTTGTAAATCACTCAGAACTGTGTGAGCACTGGATGCAATGGGTGTCTCCCTCCCTCTCAGTGGTAGGGTTCAAAGTGCTGCTCCAGGAAGGAGGAAATCCTGGAACAGAGCCTGCAGCCTCACTCTGGGTGCGTGTCTCAGAACAGGGACTCCTGATCTTTCCTCCTCTCTGACACAGAATAGATGATGCACACAGGCGTGACACCTTCTGTGGGCGGGCACACTAAGAACGGTGTGAAATTCCTAGCTAGCTGGATAATTCCACTCCTTTCTCCTTCACAGCACATCAAAAAGCAAGTGAAAGCAATGTAATTATAGGGCAATCCTCAACACCATCTAAGAGAAAACCATTTGCAGCAATGACAAGTAACAAATTACCCGTGATCCTCACAATAGATTGCACACACGAACACCTGGAAATACTGTGATTGAGAACTGTTGTGTCAGAGACTGAGCCACCTCCGCACACAGGAACCAACATCCCCATCCACGGCCCCATCCCTCCGCTCCCTGTCTTTCCCACAAACCCCAGACAAGCTGTTGGTGCCCCTGGGTGAAGGATTAATTGTCAGCCCAGGGGCACCAGAAGTCAGGAAGGCAGATTTCAGCCTCAGGCGTCTCTGGGTTTGAATTCCTGCTTTGCCACTTCCCAGCTCTATTACTTTGGGCAATTACTTATCTATTGGCACCTCAGTTTCCTTATCTGTAGAATGGGTAATAAATAGTATCTTCTTCATGGGGTCATTGTGATAATCAAATGAAATAATGCTTATTAAGTACTTAGTATAATAAATGTTGGCTGTTATGATATTTAAGAAGTCGAGAAAGGTCAGCTAATGTCAGTGGAAATCAGAGAAGTCAAAGCTCTGGGAATTATTACACTGCATGGGTTCTGGGGGTGGGGGGAAGAGAATGACAGGTGAATAGGGATCTTTTACTGTGAAACAGCAAGAAGTGGGAATTGGAGCCATTGTGAGTCAGAAGCATCAGCAAGGAGGATTCATGCCTGGTCCTGGGGAATGGGAGTGTGTATGTAGCAAAAGCACTGCCCTGCACCACTACCTATTATCTGCTCAGTGTGACAGCCCCTCTCCGTCCTACCTGGAGAAGCCCATGAGGACACAGTTGCCTGGGCGCTGAGTCACGTCCCACTGCATCCCACCACTTTGATAGAGAAACAGGGCGAAGGATCTGCTCCCGTCCGTGGAGAGGATGGCCTGGTAGGTGTTGGTCTGGGGATTGGTTGGAGGCAAACAGAGGGATGGCTGTGAGAGATCGGGGGTCTCCTTCCTGGTGTTCCATCACCCATCCCACACCCTTTTCCTGACACACACACACATCATCTTTTCTTGGACGACCCAGAGCAAAGGCCTGGGCTTAAAATGCTGAAAAGTTTGGGAGCGTGCCCCTGGGTGAGGGATTAATTGTCAGCCCAGGGCACCCGAATCATCTTTCACCCTCAAAGCACCTAGCATGGTGGATTTGCCTTCTTTGTGACTTCTTTCCAGGGAGGAGTGATAACGGGCTTTGGGTTAGAAACTAGTTGGCAGGGAGTTTGTATGAGAAAGCTTCAGGAACCTGAGAGATTAGCTAAGACACCAGAGAGCTGGGAGGGGCCTATGTAGCTTCCTCAGAAATATTTAAGGACATTGTCTAAATGCCTCCTCAACCTGAATAATGGGGAGGACCACTGCAGGTGAGACTGGAAAGCCTCTGAAGGCGGGCGCCAAACACTGTATTTGTACAAAGTAGGTCATCAACAAACTTGTTGAACCAATGAAGAAATGAGTAACTTTAGACCAGACACAAGGAAGAACTCGGTGACTGTAACAGCTGAGTCCCCAGGGGGAAGATTGTGTGGTAGGCCCATGTCCATTGGATAGCATTGTGGTTGAAAGCCAGTGTTCAAAGTCAGAGAAACTTGGGTTCTAGGCCTGGCTTTGTCATTTGCTAGCTGGGTGACCTTGAGCAAGTTGCTTAACCTCTCTAACCATCGCTTTCTTCATTGCTACAATGTGGATAATGATATCAAGTTGAGCCATATAAAATTGCAAATAGCCAGCCATATTTGACTTATAAATATTCCATTTCCTAAGTTTGAACCTCCTAAGACCCAGTGCTCTGAGGTTGTGGAAGTAAAAGGCTGGGGCAGCCTGACGCTTGGTGAAGGCTCAGTATCAGGATGGGTAGGGAGAGTGCTGTAATCAGAAATCTGTCCTTGAGTCAGATAGGGCTTTAGAAGATCGGTCCCTGCCTAGAATTCTAGGATGTCTGACTTCCAGATGGTTCACAGAGAGCTGTGCATCTGTCTACTCACCCCACGGGTCCACTGGGCAGGATAGGCGGGGGCACTGACCCATGTGACCTTCAGGGTCCACCTGGCTTTGTAGTTCCAGGTGTTTGTGAACTTCTCAATCCAAGACTCCACCTGCTGGACTACAGGTGGTTTGTAGTCATCATCGAGTGTCTCATATACCTAGGAAAGGAAGGCAGGTAATGATAAGGCAATGAGGGTCCTGGCTGAACACCCCCGAGAGACCCCCGCTTTATGCATGGTGATCCTGCTCACTTTAGTCTACCCACGTCTCACATCCTTCCCTCTCCCAGACCTACATTTTAAGTTAGCTCATTGGACCTGAAGATTGATACAAGTTCGGCTGCAGGGAAGTCTGGGGTGGAGTGGAGAGTCAAGGTCCAGAAACCCAAGTCTCCTGGACTTGAACTCATGCATCTCTTAGCACAAACTGGCTTGAACAGCATAACCACCTGTGCCCATTGGAACCTTCCCATGTCCAATCAGAGGCTTCTTGAGGATAGGCATGTGTTTCTCCATCTTTGGACTTTCTACAGTGCTTTGTCCATGGCAGGGGCACAACCCACATTCACCTGTAGGGGCTTTCATTACACACTCCCACTGATTGGAATCATTAACCCAATCCAGGAGCACACATGGGGCTCCTGCTTGACTCAGGCTTGTTAGGAAAGACCCTACAACCTTATTCTAAAATCAAACACTGGATTGTCAACCCCTATCCCTGTCACCTGCACGTCTTCTCGTGGTTGTGTCAGGGCATTCCTGTGTGTATGTAATCTGCTTCTTTCCCGCCCTCAGACTTAAGCACTGATCCCGCCCACAATAAGTCTGGCTCTGGCAGCAGTAACACGTGGACCGCCCTCCACACAGTCCTTTGTCTGTCTTTGCTGGCTGCTGTGTGATCCCAAATGCCCAGCTTTGAAAGTCCCACCTGGTAAAATATGGTTCCCCGGTGACTGGAGAAATCAGCATCATCCCAGAATGGAGCCACCAGGGCCACACGGTCCCAGCCTGTGAAGCCTCTAAGAGGAGGGTTAGGATAGGAGAAAATCTGGTACTTTGACTCCGGAAAAATGATCTGGCCATTATCTGTGAACTGAGCACAAAGGTTCTTCCGGTTAGCATTCAGGGAGGAAGACAGAGAAGCCTTTGGGCCAGTGTCTCAGAAGTGTGACCCCGAAGTCCTCTCTGGGTAGAACTTTAGAGATGTCAGCAACCTCTGGAAGGTCATGTCATCCATCTCCCTGCCTGCTGGGGGAGCCCCTTTGCATGGTTCTCACATGGATACGTTACCCTCAAGGACATTCCTCTCATTCTAAGTCCCTTCTAAGGTGGTAGGTTTTGCCTTGCCTCAGCAACAGACTCCGTCTATAAGACCAGCCTGTCCCAGAGCATTCTGGGTAAATCCCCTCAGCTCCATCCTAGAGTTGATACTACATCAGATGGGGCTGAAAGGATAGACACTGTGCCATCCTTTTATAGGTGTTCTGACTCAGCCTCCTTCTCTGAGAGCCACAGGGGCCACAACAGCCACTCCAATTCTCCTCCAGGAGACATGGATACTTGGACCAGAGAGCCAGAAAATAATTATAGAAGATGTAAACAGCATCAAACAGTTAAGTTTCCCAAGTAGAGCTTCCTACTCATAAAAAGGGCCTGTAAAAACAGTAGAGCACTTACTGGGCCCCAAGACCTCTTTACTGAGGTAAAGATGCTTTTGTCCACACAGGTAGGTGGACATTGCCTAGCTCCCTGTCTTTTTCAGCTGACACCCTGATATTAAAGACTAAATGCAAACTGAGTCAGAATCATATAGTAAATTTCTTCCTTTCCAGGGTCATGGTCACAGTCACAGGGACATCTTAGAGCCCTTGAGAGGGAAGCAGGGCCAGGGGAACCCCGAAAACTCACGTAGAGGAAATCTCGGAGAGAGGAGCCGAAAGGGAAGCCAATTTGGGGCTTGAAGAGCGGTGAGGTGAAGTCCACATCCCTCTTGACAAACTCCCAGTCTCCAACATGTGACCCGTAGGGGAAGAGGGAAACACCTGGGCCAGTACGAAGACAAGCAGGGAGTTCTCATGGGTCCTGACTTCATTCAGACTGACAGGGGTCCCCGGAGAGCTTCCCCAGTTGTTCCTTCCCCCTGCCCTCTGTTCCCCTGACTGGGAGCCATCAAGGACTCCTCTCTTCCCTTCTCCACTTGTGTTTAACTCGTCTCCTCGTTTTACCCCTTAAACTGGTACTCTCATCCTTCCCGTTTGGAGAAAATCAGGTCCTGCTTCAGAATACTAACAAATTGTTCTGCATCTGTTATGGAACTCATCATCCTTTTAAGGGTGAAAAGATAAAACTCCTCCAATGCAGGGAACATTGGTAATTGAAAGATCATTTCATAGAATGAAATTTGTTTCCTAAGATCCTGTTTCTCTTGATAAACTTGAAGATCCCCTAGAATTTGCCCTAGGGCCTCTCCCTGTCCACCCATCCACCCAGAGTTCCTTGGGCAGTTTGGAAAATCTTGTCATAAATATTTCACAAATGGGTCTCCTCTTCTCCATTATGGCCACCCTTGCTTTGTCCTGCTTGGAATCCATGGCTGTCATTACACTACTCTCCTGGCCTCGAAAAGTCAACCTCTACCCCAGCCACCATAGCACCATTTATAAAAGCAAACCTATGGGCTGACTGAGTGGTGGGTTGGTTAAGAGCTGACTTGGGATGCCAGAGGGCCCTGGTTCGGATCCCACATATGAGGGCCAGTGACACTGCCCTCCACAGCTAAGATGCTGAACAACAGCTCGACCTGGAGCTGGGCTGCCGTGAGTCTCTGGCGACAGCAGGTGGGTTGCCATGGGCTACTGTGTGTAGCCAGCAACCAGCATGAGGGGCCGTCCAGAAGCCGGCGACTGATCTGCCTCACCCAGGAAGAGCGCAATGATGGTGCCAAGTTGGGCCAGTGAAGCAACGTCCTCCACAACTAGACTGAAGAACAAAACCACAGCAACTTGTCTGTTCCCCTTCCCCCAATTCCCTAGTGCTGTTCCCATCCCCCAGTTCCCCAATAAAAAATCTTTAAAAAAAAAAGCAAACCTAGCCATGTCCTCCCTGGTTCCTTTTATCCACAAGATTACCTCACATGACAGCGTCACTTTCAACACTTTTCACCTTACTTCCAGCAACCCCAAATGCTTTCGTGAATCTCCTCCTCATGCAACACTGGGACTACTTTCCACATCTATACATTTATTCCAGCTGTCCAGACCCTCCTGCCTGCTTGGGGTGCATCCATTCCCCCTGTTCCAATTCACTCTAGGAAGCCTCCTCTTCACCTTGAACCCATCCCAACATCTTCTACGGGCCTTTCATTGTGTGTGCCTTCTACCCTGGCCTTATTCCTGTAATTGTACTTACCGAGTCAGCAGATCTGTCTCTTGCTAGACAGCACCTTGATCATTTCTCTATCTCCACCTCTGAGCCTGGTGCCATGCACAAAGCCAACCCTCAGCACCCAACTCTGATGCTGTATCATTGTCCCTTGAAAGGTCTTTCTGACCTGAGAGAGCAGAGTCTGTGAGCAAGCAGGCTGAGACTAAGCATTCAGTTATATCACCCTATGAAGCAGATATGAGGAGCAGCTCAATTTCCTATGGCCCAGAAGGTGCAGTGGAGATATCTATAGAACTGGTTCCCTGACTACCCACAATGGCCTTCCTTGATAGATCCAATCCAGCTGCCACAACTACAAGCTCCACACCTAGTTCAATCCTCGCTGTCCCAGTGTACGGAGTCCCAGCTCTATGGCATCACTTACCTTTCTCGGGCTTGATAGGGACTGAAACAGCTGTTGAGTGGATGCCTGTGGATGTGCTGGGAGTGGAGGTTGTAAAGATCTGGGAGGTTGTTGAGGGTAGCAATATTGCTGTGCTTCTCTCAGTATCTGTCCTCATTGAGGTTGTGATTGTTCCTGGTGTGCAGGGAGAGGAGACTGGGTCTTATAGTCAGAGAATAGCAGAGTCAAAGAGAGCCATAGACTTTAGGAGCTAGAAGAGACATCTAGAAACCCTGTTGACTGGCTCAGACTCAGTCTACTCCATGCAGACGAGCAGTTGTCTGCTGGGGCAGAGGGGATGGTGACCCTTTCACTCACCACACCCCCATTCACTTCATCCTCTTGTGGACCTGACCTTAACCCTAGCCTAGTTATGCCGAATCACTGTCTTTTCTCATGCACTCCTCTAGGCCAAATTGAGCCAATGGGGCCACTATAAGAGACCAAGATGCTGCAGTCTTTACCTACCTGATACAGTGGAGCTTAAGGATGCTGTGGATTGTGGAAAAGTGCTGGTACCAGTCAGAGGTGTGAGATGACCTGTAAATAAGGTGGTGGAGCTCCAGGTGACTGCAGGGCCAGGGGCTGATTGAGAGAATGAAGAATGATTGGTTAAAGTATAGAAACTCGATATGGTCTGAGATTTGCCCACATTACAAGAGGAAGTAGAGTCAGAGAAAGCATAGTCTGTAGATGGCTGTGGCATAGGCAACGGACTCTTAAAATACTTAGATGCTGAAGAAGTATCATGAGTGGCCTTGATCAAAGGGTAGGTTGTAGGTGGAAATGACAAAGTTGGTTGGATCCAGCTATGCTGTTATGATTACTCACAGAACTCATATACGTCGACCTTGTAATAGAGTTGGTAGTGGAGACTACCATTTGAACAGTTGCAGGATGCTCAGGGGTGGGTGTGCTTGACTAGCTCACTGAGGAAGTTGAGACTTGTGTGGTATTTGTCAAGGAGTTACTGCCAGAACCTACAGTACAAATCACCATTGCAATCATGTTTTCATGAATGACTGAGCTTCAGGTTGTTATTAGAAATTCTCCACTGTAGACAAAATTGTGGAAGGAGAATGAGAGGCTGCATCACTCAGGGTGGGATTGGGAAATGGCTGATGTTGTGTCAGGTGAGGTGCTGGTAACAGGGGATGTTGATTGTCCTCCTGGGCCTCCCAATGTTGAAACTATAGAGGTGGACTGAGGAATGGCACTTGTTATGGAAAATGATGTATCTTCTGAGGTTCCCAGGGTGGTGTCAGAGCTGACGGGTGCTGTCTATAGTTCTGTGGTTGTAGTAGTGACTTGAGTTGTGTGGCTATCCCTGTGGGGTGCTGGGGTGAATGTTGTCACTTCACCTGTGGTGGATGTATCCTGAGGAACACTTTCTGAAAGTGAGTGTCCACTAGATTTGAATGAAGAAGTTGCAGATATGATTGTCTTGATTGTGTCTGTCATGAGGGAGACTAAATTCGTGGTTAGGGGTTCTTGAGGGTCTGTGTGCCTTGAGGGTGACCTATCTGGGAAATAGCTGATGATTCTTGAGAAGTGCTGATAGAGAGTAGTGTTAACTGGCTTGTTGGGCCTACTGTTATAGTTTGTTGAGATGTCTGCTCACTTAGTATGGATGAGGGAGAAGTAGGTGTAACTGTTTTGATGGTTTGAGTCATACAGGAGCTTGTGCTGCTGACATGAGTATCTCCAGTGGTCCCTGTGCCTTGTGACCAGTGGGTCTGGGAAACTGCCATTGCTGTTTCCTGAGGAGATATGCTCAGATAGGGGTATGTGGTTGGCTCTCCCTGTTTCCCATTTGTTGAGACATTTGAAGTAACCCAAAAAATAGTACTAGCTGTAGAACTAGATGTGTTTTCTATGACCAGTACTGTGGTAGCTTTTGCTGTTGACAACAGTTCTTTTTGTGACTAGGTTGTATGGCTATTACTAAAGGAGGAAGAAGTGAATATTGTTGTTTTACCTGGAGTGAATGTCTCATGAGAAACAACTGAAGACATTGAGCTAGCTCCTGGCATGAGGCCATCCCATGGCCTCTGTGCCTTTACAACAGGGAATGTGGAAAACTATAGATGTTTTTGGAGTTGAAAAACTGACAGGGAGTGGTGTTGATTGTACTTCTGACCCCCATTTTGTAGAAACTATAGAAGTTAATGAGGAAAATGTCTAGTGATGATATGATATCTCCCCAGTATTTTCTACAATGGAGACTGTAGAGGTTGGTGCTGTCATCAATACTGATGTTGTGGCAGGTGTGTAGGTGTCATGTACATGGGATGATCTAGATCTTTCAACTAAAGGGAATGTCTCAGAAAGAACAACCTCTGTACACTTGTGCCCATTGGTGAGGATGAGTGAGTTGATGTGCTCACTCTGGTGAT